CTATCAGTAGGTCGAGCAGATGATTCAGTTAATATATTTTGATTATCATGAGTAGAAGATAAAGGACAACGTGGACATAATGTATTTAACAGGGATGCCAGTGTATCATTACTGAACGATGATGATGACATAGAGCATTGATTTGTCTCTGTTGAGACTAACAATAGATCATCCATATTAACATCTGTATTAGAAGAATTTTTAGATAATGAAATAAAAGACATTACATTATTAGATTGTAATGATGATAAATTTGGTGAAGATGATAATAAGCTCGATATGCTATGAACTTGAGGTAACTGATCATTGAAAACAATTGATGTTGTTACCATCGGTTCATTATTCGATACATTAATGGATGACCATAAATTATTAGAATTTGATGGTGTTGAAAGTGTTATTGATTTAGAATGTATATTATTAACAGATGCTTCATCACCTTTGATTGTTGTCAAAGTTTGATTATCGATTACCTGTAAATTTGATCATATATGTACATATAGATGAATACAGTAAAAATTATTTACCAGTATAGGGTTGTGAAGTTTGTTGAATTTCATTGAAATCATGAATCGATTAATGTTAGACCACAATTGAAAACCTAGAAGCACTGCAGAGCCGTTTCGTTCTAGTATGAGACTCTTTGGTAGTGCATATCCACAATCCCGCACGCGGGACTCGGACCAAGTACCTCCAGTCTCGCGTGGACGCTCAACCTCTAGAACACTGAGCCGGGATCCAATAATTTTAATGTCATATTTCAACAAGTCCACGATATTGAGCAACCAACTTCACGTTCGCACGAAACCGAAGGTACTGAGTTTGAGTCCCGCGTGTGGGATTGTGAATACGCACTACCAAAGAGTCTCATACTAGGATGAAATGGCTGTGCAGTGCTTCTGGGTTTTCAATGGTGGTCTAACATTCATAGGTTCATGACTTCAATGAAATTCAACAATCTACACAATCCTATAATGATAATTATCATGTGCTTAATGGTGGCTGGCTTCGAGAGGTAATTTTCAGTTCTAGTGAGAAGCTATGACCAGTGGAGATCAACTGTGTGAGGTATGACGCAGTTACCCACCGAGGATAATGATCACTCATCAATGTATCTACTGAATAGTTTCTTACTATAAACTGTAATAATACATGATTAGTTAAATGGTACACAGACAACTCAGAAGTTACGAATGGGATGTGCATTTTAAATATCAGCCTCAGTCGTTATTCGAGATATCATACTATCAAACAAGTTAACGATGTCTAATAGTGATTAATCTAAGGCGTAATAATCGATAATACAGTTGTCTTACAACTAAAATCAGTTCGTGATCAAAATTATATCAAAGTTACTAGTCACTTTCGTGGAACCGAAAACTTCAATATAACATAAAATTCACTTTAAAAGGAACGCTTACCTGAAGTGATTGAACTGACGATTTAGTCGTACAAGGATTTGCTGAAGTATTGTATGATGGAGGTAAATTATTTGAAATAGATGTAATTGTTGATGGTTTTGATTGTAATTCTTTAGTTAGAATCGAATTTTCAGTTAAACGTTTGTTGACTTGTGATATAATACTAGTTCGACGTCGTGCATTAAATGCCTTTAACGATTCTAACGATGAAGTTACAGGTGAATTATTTTCATTCTCAATCATACATGTGGACGTTGAAGGAATAGAACTGGACGATACAAAAGTGCCTGTTAATGGTGTCGATGTTTTTACACTGACTTGAATGGGTACAGTTGATTGTTTCGGTAGTAATGGGATATATGGTCCTTGACTTATTGCTACAGTTGAAGTTACTTGTCGTTCATGGTCTAATTGTCGTTCAACAATAGGAACTTGTATCTAAATACATTAGAAAAAGAAAATATTAGTGCACAAATAGTGAAATCAGGAAGCATTCGAGGGAAACTTAGCGTCTGTGACAATAATACTGCACACAGATCACTATGATTGAAATAAACCCCAAAATTGGAAGTACAGTTCATATACATATGTATAGTGTAAGAATATTTTGGTCATAAATATCAATTTACAAGATAAATACAAATTTCTTCAATGGCTGATTGTTCTGTTTCCTAATATCCATTTATTCGGGTTTGGCGTAAAACCTAGAATTTCGTGAACGGTCATCACTGGATCACAAATTCATGTGATCGATCACACATCATTATAAAAACAGTGAATATGGAATTGACATTGTATGAATTTTAATCTTTGCTGTTAAGTATTTACAGCTTAGTTAAGTTATACAACAATTATATGTAAACACAATGGACTGTTACAAAAGGCATAATAAAACAATGCAATCTTCTGTTACTAGCAGTATCGATCGATGTTAGTAATTCGTGCAGATCGTATTGAATCTAGTGAAGTCCGAACTAAGAACAGATGGATGCCTAATTTACTAGGTAAGTCCAACATGTTGATAGTTTATTGAGTAGTCAATCAGTCAAGTACAACGTAAGACCAGGCATATATATGCATCGGTTCAAGTTGTCACACCTCATTATCACAACAAGGTGAACACAAAATTTATGGAAGCAGTTACTTCAACGGTAGTATTATATATAAATAAAGATTGCATATACGGATACAGGGATAAAGAATTAGTTCGTAGAAAGAAAGGAATAAATTGATTTTAATCTCATGGTTTAAGAGAAAACAAAGAGTTTATACACCTACGCCATTGATTCTGAACCATGTCACCCAGACTCAAACCACTGGTTAGGATAGTTGCGTGGACCCCAACCATGTAGTCTGCATCTACCAACATGACTAAGACTAAAAGTTAGTGACTTGAAGGACTGATGCCGCGTTTCGGTTTGACCGTTCATAACTTCCTGTCATTCGTCTCTAATACTAGTCAAAACTTCATTGATAAAACAAGGATTCAAATTGTGTTGTAAAAATCTGCTTATATAATTTGTGGCTTCTGTCAGTTAAGCTTTCATATTAAAAAAACAAGCTTCATACTTAAACTAACTTTTTGTCCAACTGGTTGTTGTAATAAGACTAATTTTGGACTTTGAACTGAAGCTATTGGAGGCTTCATTAAACTATTTGTTGTTAATAATGAAGAAATAATTGGATTTGAAGCTGAAAAGGTGGAATTCAGTTGGAAAATGGATGGCTGTCCATTAATAAGAACCTGTATAGTATTTGGCTGAGAATACATCATAACTGTCGGTTGCTTTGCTGAAATACTGGTAGTCACTGTTGAAGGTTGTTGAGCTGTAACCATAATAGGTAATTCGGATATCTGTGAAAGATGACTTCCAGTTAATGTTTTTGGTAATAATGTTGATGTGCAGCTTTGAGTTGCCGCGACTGTAGCAACTGTTGAGATGTTAACGCTAGGAATAGCTTGAGAAGAATGAAAAGATGTAGGGACTGGCGTGTTGCTTCGAATAGGATGACGAGACTGAAATTGAAGATTACGTTATTTAAATATAACTGAATTACATAAACAAACGAATTAAATTAGATGATGAAATAGGTTAAAACAGATCTAAGATTATAATCTAAATCAATTCATACGAAAGTTTGTTGGAGGATGAGTAACTAACTAAAACAGTTTATCATTAATAAGTTTATTGATGACAGCCGACCATTCAACCAAAACCAGGAGTTAACTTAAGCATTCGTTTTCAAAATCTGAACATTGTGAAGAAATGAAATAATTAATTCTTTTCCACACGTTACTTCATTTTACAAAATAATTCAAAAAGAAAGAGCAGTAACATTATCTTACTACGCTAAATAAATATGGTTTTGCTGGCTTAAATGGACAATCTATTCGTAAAAACTATATTAAACAAGTCAGATATATATGATAATATTTAAAAACATCATTAAGGGCATGGAAATAAGTCAACTTACAACCCAATCACGATGAAGTAAATAATCACTGGCATTCAAATGTAAAAGACGCCTTAAACCATTACTTATACCGTCTCCATCTGGATCTAATGGTGGACATATTAGTAAGTCGGAGTAAGATGAATTCAATTGTTTCTGTAATCCTTTATCTTTAGTGCAGAAAAATTGATATTCAAAACGTATACGGTCTGGACAACCCAAAGACAAATAAATAGTTACCAGTTTAATTTCACGTGCCATCTGACATAATTGAGAAAAAAAGAACTGTATCGCATCTGCAAAACCGAGTCAAATTAGTCAATCAGTGAACAAAATTCATTAAAAAAAATAAAAATATTTTAGCATTATCCAAATTACCCATTAAATAACTACACGCATCAATGTTCTAGACCGAGTATTGATGGAAATTTGCTGAATAAGTCGTAAAGAGCGTGTGAACTGAAAACTTGTAATTTTTATTCAGTGTTTTACTCAACGACAAATATGTTTTTTAAGTAAAAATGGTCGTTGGATAGCAGTGGAATCCAGGACGCACGTTTCGTCCTATTCGGGACTCGTCAGCTGGATGTGCCTGCATCTCAGAATTGATTTTCACTCCGGGACTCAAAACAATACCAAATGAATCTATGTTTTTAAAATACTGAAATTGGCCAGTGACGTTGTACCTTGAAAATTATGGAACATGAAATCAAATACGCATTTGAAAAGTATTCTGTCTGGTATCATGGTGAGAAAAATTAACTTGGCTTCTACAAATGAATGAACAAGTTGATCACGTAAAGTGGGGAAGCAATGCAATGTTTAATGCCATATTTTTATGATCGTATATATATTTAAATAAAAGTACTTAGCTATACCAATGACTTATCAAGCAAGTTTACATAGTTTTCTTCTGAATTTAGAATAGTTACTACAACGCCCCCAAATGCCCTGGTACGGCCGAGAGTGGGGTGGGCTCGCCCTCCCTCTCGAAATACTCTCACACGGCCACGCGTATACAGCCTCTGCCAAGGAAGTCCTACTCATTGCCTTCTCGTGGCGGGGGTGTTGTTTACGAAAATGAGAGGACGAAAAGCGAATGTCCGGTCCTTTAACCGGATCCCGAACCAATGGTGCACATGGGCTGGCTCCAGTATCCTGCGGGAACAAACGGCGTATGAACCAATCGTTGGTCACCGGCTACCATGGGACTGCATCTCCTTACGATGCTCCACTGCCTTGTGGGTCAGACCTTTAGGTCAAAGGCTCGGGGTGTGGCCCCCTAAGATAACCACCTGCTTCGGTCTAGGCACCCGGGCAGTATCACAGCCCACACACAAATATGATGAACTGCCCATAATTATGGAAACTACTTTACTTGCTTCAACTAACAATCAAATGATTATTATTACTATTATTATTTACCACACTATTCACCCTCTTTTATACTTATACAGCGGCTCGTCTTTGTTGGAAATTCGACTCTATCTAAACGTTCTCGAGTCACTGTCCGGTTGAAAATTGTATGTTACCACTGAATATGAGTACTGAAGCAGTTTTTCTGAAACCACGTGCACCAATCAAACTGGCTGCCTTCAACGTTCGCACACCTATGCAGTTTGGACAACAGATAGAGCTGGCTATGTCTTTAGAAAGTCTTAATATCGATGTTTGCTGTCTATCCGAGACTCGTATTCAAGACTCTGGTGAAGTACTACAAATTCGCTCTCCATCTGTCGCTTCGAAAAGCTTGTTTTACGTGCGTTTATCCGGGGACCCTGTGGCATTTTCGTCTGGTCTTGCTGGCGTTGGTGTCGCACTAAGCGCTAGAGGTGAGGCAGCACTAACCGATTGGATCCCCATTAACAGTCGATTATGTTCTGTTAGATTAGAAAGTTCCATCAAAGTGAGAAGAAATCGGCGAGAGAAACGATGTCTTTTCGTCATCTCCGCCTATGCCCCGACAGATTGCAGTTCGGATGCAATCAAGGATGAGTTTTACCACCAGTTATCTGTTCTTCTCCAGAAAGTGCGTTCGACAGATATTGTAGTACTAGCCGGAGACTTGAATGCTCAGGTCGGACGTCTAGGCACAGAAGAGAGTCGTTTAGGCGGCCGATGGGGACTCGTTGGTCGCAGGTCAGTTAACGAGGACCGTCTACTGCAACTGTGCACAGACCACAACCTGTTTCTGGCTAGCACTAACTTTCGGCACAGTCATCGCCGATGTGCCACCTGGCGTCCTCCCTCTGCATCCCAAGCCTGGACTCAGATTGATCACATCGCGATCAGCTACCGCTGGCGTGGTTGTGTACAAGAATGCAGCCCCTTTTGGAGTACCTATCTGGACTCTGACCATGCCTTGGTCTGCGCCAATCTTACCTTACTTTTCAGTGGACAACGAAGTGACCGCCACCAACGGATTGATGCAAGCAAGCTGGTTGCAACTTCTGTTGCTAGTAAGTATCGAACCGAGCTAGTTTCTAGGCTAGCTACCATTCCACCGAAAAGTATAGATGAGCATTGGTTGCAATTGCATGACCCCATCAAAATGGCGGGTACAGTCAGTTGTGGGTTCGCGAAACGTCCCGCTTATAAGCACTGGCCTTCCTCAGGCTCCTTACAACTCATTGAAGCCCGTCGGTCTACTCCGGGTGACCGTGAGTTTGACCACAAACGAAGGATGTTACGTAATGAAGTTGGGCAAAGCTTGCGTAACGACCGAGAAGCCTAGTGGTCGGAGCGCGCTAATGAGTTGGAAGCAGCAGCTGCATCTGGTAATTACCGGAAGCTCTTCCAACTCATCCAAGCCACTGGCAGCAAGAAGTCTGGTGTGAGCGAAACAATCTACGAGGGTGACGGGATGCCAATCACTTACATCCATCGACGTCTTGGACGATGGGCAGAATTTTTCGAAGGGCAGTTCAACTGGCCTGCTGCTCCGGCAACATCGGTCAGACTGTCCTGTCCTCCATGGCCGGTGGCGACTGATCCACCAAATGAGGCGGAAGTCCGCAAGGAACTCCAACTCTTCAAGCGCTACAAATCACCTGGCCCAGATGACTTACCTCCGGCTCTTTTTAAAGATGGTGGTGACTTTCTGACTAAGGAACTGACGACGTTGTTTACAAAGATTTGGGAACTAGAGAGTGTACCAACGTTATGGAATGAGTTGATAGTTGTCCCTATCTTTAAAAAGGGTTCACGTCGTCTCTGTAACAACTATCGTGGGATAAGTCTACTTCCGATTGCCTCCAAGCTATTGGCTTCCGTCATACTTCGTAGGTTGTTTAAAACCCGAGAAAGATTGACTCGCGAGGAGCAGGCTGGGTTTCGTTCTGGTCGAGGATGTATTGATCATATCTTCACCCTCCGCCAAATGTTAGAACACCGTCATACTTATCAAAGGCCAACAATCGTAGTGTTCCTTGACATCAGGGCTGCCTTCGATTTGTTGGACAGGACTGTTCTGTGGGATTGTCTATTGAAGAAGGGTGTGCCTGAGAAGCTTATTAACATCCTAAAAGCCCTATATACAAACACCTCAGGCAGAGTGAGGGCATACAACCACCTCTCTCCATTGTTCCATTCGAGCAGTGGGGTTAGGCAGGGTTGTCCAATCTCATCATTCCTCTTCAACTTTGACATCAATGACATTCTAGAAACAGCTCTGATGGATGTAAGTAATGGCGGTGTTGATCTGTTGCCTGGAGAAAGAATTCTCGACCTTGAGTATGCGGATGATATTGTCTTACTGTGCGATAATGCCCAAGACATGCAATCCGCACTTAATCAGTTGGAAATCAGTGTCCGTAGGTATGGCATGTGCTTTGCACCTTCGAAGTGCAAAGTACTTCTACAAGACTGACAGCATTCTAATCCTGTACTCACCCTGGATGGTGAGCAGATAGAAGTAGTCGAGAAGTTCGTGTATCTAGGTAGCTGCATAAGTGCTGGTGGGGGTGTGAGTGATGAGATCAATGCACGAATAGTGAAAGCCAGAGCGGCTTATGCCAATCTGGGCCATCTTTGGCGCCTTCGTGATGTTAGTCTAGCTGTAAAAGGTCGGATCTACAACGCGTCGGCGAGAGCAGTTCTGCTCTATGCTTGTGAAACCTGGCCTCTCCGAGTCGAGGACGTTAGAAGACTCTCTGTGTTCGATCATCGTTGTCTCTGAAGGATTGCTGACATCCAGTGGCAACACCATGTCGGTAATGCAGAGGTTCGGCATCGTGTGTTCTGGCACAGAGATGATAATGCAATCGATGTCACCATCTTGAAACACCGACTTCGGTGGCTTGGACATGTTCTACGAATATCGTCCCAGAGAATTCCACGTCGTGCATTATTTGCCGACTCTGGGACTGGTTGGAAAAAGCGGAGAGGTGGTCAGTGCATGACATGGTGTCGTGGTATGAAAGAAAGCTGCAAAGGACTGGCTTCTGTCGGTCCTTCACGACTCTCTGGTTGGGGTCCGAGAGATGGTGCGACACAGTGGCTAGAGACGTTATCAGATATGGCTCAGAATAGAAGCCAGTGGCGATCCTGCTGTAACCTTCTTTTACTTTCTTCATAAAAAGTGGTTGTGTCTCCCTTAACTGAAAGATTTCTTCTGATTGTACCTTTCCGTCCCCTCATTATTACTATTATTATTACTACACTACCTTACACCAATCTCTTCGTTATTGTTCTCTTTTTTTTACGCTCCTTACCTTTTTTCTCTTCGAATTCTCATTGTTTTGTGTGGCGCGTATATATTTGGCGCACTCTTGTACCAATATTTATGTGTTCAAATAAATAAATAATAGTTACTTTAACAGACGTTCTTTGCCAATATATCACATCAATCAACTTATTATAACTAACAATTTATATCAAGTAAATTCGTATACTATGTTGATTTTAGTCATTCAATGACAAAATACTGTGGCATTTATACTGCCTAAATGTTAAGATCAAAATGTACAAAACAAGTGAAAAAATATCAAGTAGGTATTAGTTAGATTCAGTACTACGCCACTAGAATACTAACTTTAATTCAAATAATTTCTGATAATAATGTGTTAGTGTACAGCAACGGGATTGAAATTAAGCAGACAGTTTTACCTGGAGAACGTTAAATAGATATGTAGTGCGAAATAAAAAAATACACAAGTGAAGTATTTACAATAAAATTTATTTAAGATAATAATTATTATATGTTGTATAAACAGTGTTGGTCCCAAGTACTAATGATTTTGTGATTTACCCTAATAACTACATATGGATCCTTAATATAGAAATTTATTCTGTAACAATATTCAGATATTATATAATTTATCATTCATTTACTTTACCTTCACTGTGATTAACCAATCCATTATTAATTAAAGGAAATCAAAAAACAAGAAAATATTACAATTTATATTTTAGTGTTATATAAAACTGAAGCTTCTCCAAAAAAATTAATCTACAAATCCTTCCTGCTAAAACAAATTTAAATAATAGATGAAATTGGATTTGTGGTAAATAAATTTATACATTAATCGGTCCATTGTCAAAAGGGAATGAGCGCGAAAGTTACATGTTATTATGATTCAGTATAAATCAATCAGGTACTAAGAGATAAATAAAGTTATGACATAGTAGTCATAAATTAAGCTTTACATTTAGATACTAAATCGATTGATGAATCTGTAGCTTTTCATGGTCTTTTGATTTATAACTGGTTATTTACTAAATAACTTTTAAATATGTTTATTTTATATAACATTGAAATACGTGTGCAATTGAGTTTGTAAGTAGTAGGAGACCCTTTGATATTGGTCCGGTAAAAATTTATGAATTATCAATTAACGGTTTATACCAGCATAGACTGATTCATCAATTCATTATCTTATAACAATAAGTAATGGATAGCTATTTGTTATTAGTGGTAATAAATTACAGCAAAGTAGTCCGAAATTACAAGATATTAAATTTGATACTTTACGATCTACTAAAAACGTGTTACATTAATTATCACTGAATTTCCCATCTAATAACACGATAACCGAACAATTAATACTATGAATCTTGATCACTAAGTATATATTCATTAGTTGAATGACAGGAGCCCACTACCGGTGTTGGGGCTTTTTATCCCCTACTTATATTGAAGAGGGCTTTGTGAATATAGTTTATTCGACTATTTCTCTCTTTGAGAATATGGTTTTATTTTTTATTTGTTTATTCTTTTGTATTTCAATTATTTTGACACACTATGGTATAAGGTGCATTACATGATACTTTAACCAATCAACTAGTTGTAAACAAAGTAGCATCTGACTCCAATCGCCACAGGGCCAAATAACGAGATGAAATTAACAGGATTTGCAGCAAAGAAGTCGAAGTAATAATATCATCTAAGATAGTGAAAAAGGACTACACATATAGTGTACAGTTTGAGTAGAAGGAATGAATTAGTGGGATAAAATACGTACAAAAAGAAATTGAAACTTAAGGCAAATAGTGTAAACAATTAGGTCAATGACACTGATTTTGAACCATATCACGACACTTCTTCATTCATTACGATCATCATGTAGATACTAACTAGGAAGTTTTCACCTACTAATCAACGATTTCATGGGATGATACTATGCCTTGGATTGGAATTAAACATTACCCACCCAGAGGTTTCCCAATATCAGGGCAATGCAGAAATACTGCTAACGTATGTATGTACTGTATGTTCAAAAACCATGTTACTCGATGCTTACACTGAACTCACCTTAAGCTAAATGTACAAAAAATATTGCTTAGCCGATTGTGATTCACGATTACTGCATTATTTTAAATCTAACAATTCGCATGACTAAACCACCGAACGACAGTTGCAAATTAAAATAATAGGTAGGATTCTATAATTCTGGGGAACTAGCTAGATAGAACAAGAATTCCTGAGAGAACAAACAAATACCATTTACAACAAAACCCTAAATAAGCATAATTATACTACCCCACACACCCACCTCACGTGTAACACCAATTGATAATTGTTTCCCAAGATCTCTTAGATCTAACTCAGCATTTGACGTTGATGTAGTAACTGACAAGCCATTAATTGATTCTGAATTTCTGAGATCTGACGTGCGCAATGATGACGATGTTAAGTTTGTTGTCGAATTCGAAGTAACTAAATCTGGAGATTCCACAGGATCGTCATGAACTGCATCTTGTTTTTCTGATAATCAGAGTAAAAATAAAATTAGCTAATGGACAGTTTTAGACACCTATCATCCTGGAAACGTAACCCGGTAAAAATTGGGAAACATGATAAAAATATCTTACTTATGTAAATAAGCGTAGATTTAATGAATTTGAATTTGGTTTGGCGAAAATACAAACTAAATGATAGCCTTATTCAAAGTTATATTTTTGGTACAATGTGGGATTCTCAGTGTAAAATACATTGATCTTAAACAATGGTAAATATTTGAGTGAAAATATTGCGGTAGTGAAGGACACTGAGAAGTCGTACTACCTATATATTGGTCTCATCTAAAGCACTACTGAGAACGAAGGAGCACTAAACAGATGTTATGGAACTCTTCAAATGTATGGATCCACGTTCGAACTGTAGACCTTCAGGTCCCACAGAGAACACTTGAAATTTACATGGATATTTAATTTCCGACATGGTTTGATCGTAAGAATAATGAACAGGGATTAAACATCAAACAAATAAGTCAATACTAACTATCAGGGATTCCCTATTTTTTGCGTAACGGTACGTTTATTATTATGACAGCTAATATTTTATGTGAATATATTACGTTATATAGTTCACTACCAATATTTCTCTAACACACAACTGAGCTATTTCTCTCATGCGGTAGCAATCTTAAGTTCTGTTATTAGAAAGAACAGTTTCGTTAGATTAACGGTACTGTTATGAGAAGTCTCTTGGGTAAAAATGCATGAAAAGCACCTTTAAATATCTAGAATTATGTTTTTGATTCGGATACGCATTACAATGTACGACTGAGAGACAAGATTACCAAGAAAGCCATGCGGAAAATTTAGATTTTCTTAACATAGAGGTGACCGGAGACAGATGGTTGAATATTTCAGAAGATCACTTATTATGTACATACAATTATGTATTCATTCAATAGCTTATTGAAGGTTATTAAATTACAACCTGGTATTAAAATAGAGAATCAGAATCCCAGCCAATGACAATCAAGTTATTATTTAGTGTTGACAAAGTGTAAACTATAATTGATTAAAGAGGTTCATCGAAGTTTCATACACACTCTGCCATTTTATCTTAAAGTGTGTTGTGCTGGGACGTTTACGAGAATAGATCACTGCAGACTGAACAACATGTAATCGACCACAACGGAAGAGATAAATCTATTTTTATTATCGTGTCTACCACATGCATATCATTTTATGAGGTATTATTCCAAATTATAAATCCAACCACTCAGCTAGTGAGTTAGTGAATGGATGTGCAACAATTCACTTACATCTTAACTAATACAAAACACAGAAAAAGAAACAAAATTCATCAAAATAACAAAGAAAAAATCCCTAGTTTACATAGTTTGTTGTTAGAGATCAACTATCTACAACACAAGAAAATGAAGTCACACAGTTATTGCACACAACACAGTATCCAAGGTTATAATTTACGAAAAGTCTATATATTCTACATACTATTATAATTACCAACAAATTCAATGCTTTAGGTTTAAAAAAATATGTATTTATTTCTTGGAAGGAACGATTAAATTCAGTCTAACTGATGATGGTCAATAAAATGATCAAATTACAATGATAGGGTCCATAATCCAGTATAC